CCGCCCCGCCCCTCCCAGCCCCTCAGGGGAGCATGCCCCGTCCACCTCTAGTGAGATGTACCCAGCACCTTCCTGGGGTTTCTTTCTCTAAACTCCACCCAATCCCCCTGGGGGGACCCCTAGAGAGCTTTTCAGGGCTGAGCCACTTCAGGATTTCCTAAGGCCACTTGGCTGTTTAGGAGTAGGGTGACAGGCACCCGGACTCCCCTCCCCCTTCCCAAAAAGGGTCCCGTGTCGGTGTAAGACCCTAAGACTCAGTGAAACCAAGAGCGGAAGGTCTGGGTGGCTCCCAGGGGCCGAGACCAGAAGGCCGCCCGCCCCAGGACCACACAGGACAGGCCCACCTTCTCACGACTGCCCCAACTCCAAAGAAAGGAACAGCACCCGAAGAACAGGAAGGCCAGAGCGTGTAAGTTCTTAAGTCAAATATACAGAGTATTCATTTAATATGTACACATTTACAGAAATGCACTTTCACGAGGAGGCGGCCGGCGGCCGGGCCGCAGCCCGGCGCCCGCGGCAAACGCGGCCAGCTGCGGGGGTGAAGGCACTTGTCACAAGCTTCAATACTGCCGTTCCAGGAGGGGAAACCGAGCAGTCAGGAAGGGCACTTCTGAAGCACAGTTGGGAGATCTCTGGAGAGTTCTGGGCAGGAGGAACAAGGACGGCAGGTTGGAGGGATGGGAGCAGGCAGTCCAGGTCTGCCTGCCAGCCTCAGGCCATGCGGGTGACCTCCAGCCCCACTGATAACCACAGGCGCCACCAACAGCCACGGGCCATACCAACAACCAAGGCCACACTGAGGGCCACATCAACCACCACCTCAGGTCCCACTGACAAACACGGGTCCCACCACAGCCATGGGTCCCACCGACTGCCTCAGGCTACGCTTGTCGACCACAGGTCCCACTGAGATCCACAGGCAACACCGGCCACCACAGGCCACACTTGTCAGCCACAGGTCCCACTGAGATCCACAGGCCACACCGGCCACCACAGGCCACGCTTATTGGCCACAGGTCCCACTGAGATCCACAGGCCCCACTGAGATCCACAGGCCACACTGGCCACCACAGGCCACGCTTGTCAGCCACAGGTCCCACTGAGATCCACAGGTCACCACAGGCCACGCTTATCGGCCACAGGTCCCACTGAGATCCACAGGCCATACATAGCCACAGGTCTCGTCGGCTCTTTGGCCTGGAGCCACAGAGAAACCCAGGTGAGGAATAAGAATGAAGATTCTGTAAACAGCACAACCTCTGGTAACAAACGTTACACGATCTGGTGAGAACACAGACTCGCTTCACCCGCCTGCCACATCACGTGTAACACACAGAAACTTTACAAAAATAGCAACAATCCTAGAATACTCCATTGTTTTCTGCCTGACAGTTATTGAATAACTTATACAAGGTTAAAGAAATGTAGAAAATAAACATTTGTTTTTTGTTTTTGGTGGGGTTTTTTTTTTACACAAAATAAAGAAACTATGCACACGGCCTCAGCCTCCTACGGTCCGGCGGGTGTGGGCTGGCAAGGGCTCCCGGGTCCCCGACCAGCAGGCAGCTGCGCTCCTACTCCTTGCCGGTATACTGCACATCCTTGGTGCTCCTGACTGCGCGGTTGTCCACTTTGGGCCCCGAGGCCACCCAACGGGCTGACCGCCCCGAAGGGCAGCTGGGGTCTTTGGTGAATTTACGTGAGAGGAACTTCTCTGCCTCCGGGGAGTCCTCCTCTTCGCGGCCCAGCTCCTCATCCTCGTCCTCCCCGCTGCCCCCGTGGGCCCCTGGTCCGGGCAGCACCTCACCCGCCCTGCGTGGCGGTGGTGTGAAGTTCTTGCACTGGAAGAGCACATCCTTGTGCGCACCGCTGGGGCCACTGCCTCCCGGCCGCTCAATGGGGTTGCGGATGGGGTTGAGCGGGGCCCACTGGTTGTTGGTGCCTTCATCCCGCGGCAGCCGGCTCCTCTCCCGTTCTTTCCTGCGCTTTCGCGTCCACCACACACAGATGACCACACAGGTCAGCCAAAGCACACTGAACACACTGCACAACATGGGCACCAGCAGGCCTGGGGCGGAAGGTAAAGCAGTGAGCGCAGCAGAGCCGAGGCCCGCGGAGCACCGAACGCCAGCCCGGGGCCCCAGCCTGGCACTTCGTTTGGTCTCTGGCTGGTGGAGAGGCTCTTGGGACAGGGGCCCGGCCTCCTCTCCCATGGGATAGGGGTGGGGACAGCGGGTGCCCTTCCGCTCTGAGCCAGGTCTACGGGCCAATGCCCGCCAGACTGGGGGTCTGGGACACCTCTTGTCCCTGCTCACCTGTGGACGAGCCATCCATGACCACTGTCTCCACCTTGACCTCAGTGACGGCCAGCAGCAGTGAGCTGTTCCCCCGCTGGGTGATGGCGGCCACGATGGCATGGGCTGCGCTCTGAATCAGACTGCTGTCGGGCAGGTCCCTCGCAGGGCTGAAGGACTGTGCCAGAGGGTGGAGCTATGGGCACGGCTCAGGGGCGCCCGGACAGCACCCAGAGCCCGCCTCCAGGCGCCGAGGCCATAGCTGCTGTCCAAGCTCAGAGCCAGAGCTTGCCCGGGGAGCCCTGCACAGGGTGCCCGCCCCCCTGCCCTCCCCACCGAGCCCGTGTCTGTGCGGCGATGCCAGGTCTTTTCAGATAACACAGATCCCAAACTCCAAGGGCTGTGCAACCAACACAGCCTCCTCCTCCTTCCCTGAGACCCTGGGCCACTCCTGGACCCTGTCTTATGCCCCTTCCGCCTCTCTCTCTCCTGTTCTGCCCTCACCACCATGTGCCACAAGGCTGCTGGAGCTGCCCCGGCAACGCCACGGGCTGCCAGCCCAGGGTGGCCCATTCAGGGTGCCCCAGGACCCCGACAGAAGGCCCAGACATCCACAGCTTCAGATACCAGCTCCAGAGGGGCTGCGGCCTCCAGCCCAGCCCCAAGTCTCAGCTGTCACTCCCCAGGCCGCGTCCCCAGAGCTACGAGCAACTGCTCAGCACGGCCCATGGCTTCTGCTCAGCGATGCCTGGGCCCGGGCCTGCCGACACCTCTGCCCACCGTGCCTTCCGCACTGCACAGCTGATCACTGCCTCACCCAGGCTCCCTGTCAGCCCCAGTGGGTCTGGGCCACGGCTCCTGAGTCAGGGGCCCAGCCCACCTCCTCTGTCCACAAAGAACCTGGTCTGTGGCCCAGGCAGTGCTGGTAGCACTTCCACCATGGTCTCAGACGTCCTGATGCTCCTCCCTCACGTGCCCTCCGACCTCTGCTACAGCCTTGGTTCCCACAGATCTACCCCTACCTCCCGCTGCTAATGCCTCCTCTCCCACGGGCAGTTAGCATCACAGCCCCCTAGGTGCCCAGGGTCCCCTGGGACAGACCTCTGCCACTCACCACAGCCACCTCCACAGCACTGGCTCCCGAGGAGGTCTGGTCACAGAGCAGCAGCAGCAGGCGGTCTCGGGCCACGGCTCTCGTGGCTGGCAGAGAGCGGATTCCAGAGCAGATGGAACCCACGGTGGTGCCCTGGAGAAGAGAGCCGCAGGTGAGGGGGGCCCTCAGCAGGGACCTGAGGACACTCGTCTGCCCGCTGCCCTGGGGGGCAGCGCCGGCCAACAGCTCTGCTTGTCCTGTCTCACAGTGAGGCAGCTCTGTGGAGGGGTGGACACAGTGAGGACAGGGTGGACGTGAAGGCCGATTCCAAATATCCAGAGGCTGTGGCCAGAACATCCAGCATGCTCCGAGCTGCGGGATACAACCCAGAAAGCGAGTGGCTGTGGGCCACCCAGTGTCCAGGCCCCTGGACACGCGTGCAGCTAGGGATGTCCCCAGCTGGACAAATGGGCAACCCAGCTTGGGCCTGCTCAGTCTCCCAGGCTCGGAGCCTGTGGGAATCCCGTGAGCGGCTGTGCACAGTCCCAGCCACCCCGCCAAGGGAGCATGAGCCACGGCCGGGCAGCCGCTCAAGGAACAGACAGCGTCCGGGCACGCCGGGCTGCGGAAGCACAGGCCACAGCCCGGCAGCCGCTCACCTGGGGCACTTGGTCTCGGTTGAAGCGCAGTGTGAGGCGTGCACAGTTGTTGTCCAGGTGCCCGGAGCGTGGCAGGCAGAGGGTGCTGGGTGGCAGAGGCTCCTCGGCCCGGCATTCCCCCCAGGCCTCACAGGGGGGCTGCAGGCACTGGCCCTGGGACTTCTCCTGACACTGCTGTCCTGGTGGGCACTGGGCACTCAGGGCGTCAGGCTGGCTGGACAGTAGACACGGCTTCCACCCACACCATACCTGGATTCACGGGCATACGGTAACAAGGACGGCAGGCAGCACACAGAGGGAAAAGACAGGATTGGGTCAGTAAGTCCCACCGCACTGTCCCGGACAGGCTGAACAGCACACCAGAAAGACTTCTTGCCAGTTCAGGCAGAGCTGGGTAGGCCTCGGGCCGAACCTCAGTGCCTCAAATGCAGAAGGGGGACGGGATGCGGTTTGGCCCAGGCCGCTCCCTGCTCTCTGCGTGTCTCCAAGGACAGCCTCAACCCACCCACTCGAGCCCCAGCCCGGGCACGCAGGGCGGGGCGCGGGGCACGAGGCGGGGCGGGGAGGGGTGCGGGGCAGGGGAGGCAGGGCTGACAAGAGGCCCTGTGGCTCCACCTTGCTGCAATCCCGATGGCCGTCATGGCAGCGGCAGCTATTGCAGTCTTCCACCCAGGAGCTTCCGTGCAGGAGGGGCACGCCCCGGGACCAGCAGGACCTCCCGAACTCCACCACTGCCGCGAGAGGAGGGAGGGTCAGCTGAGCGTCCAGGTCTGGCCCACCCGGCCCCGCTAAGCCACGGCCTGGCGTGGCTGTGGCTGGCCTACCATCCTGGCACCGGGAGCCGGTGCGGCCCGGAGGGCAGCTGCAGCGGTACCCGTTGATCTCGTCCACACAGGTGGCCCCGTAGGCGCAGGGCGAGGACTGGCACTCATCCATGTCTGCAGGGAAGGCAGTGCTCAGGGCGGGACAGCCAACACCCTCGCACAGGGCCCAGGGAAGGGCTGGGGCAGGAGGGAGCAGGGACACGCCGCAGGCCGGCGGGGACCCCGGGACCCAGGCCCCCCAGTCCTGCAGGGCTGTGGAGGCCGGATGCCCGCGTCTGTATCAACCCATGCTGCCGCAGCGGTGGCAGCCGTCAGCGGGGCACAGTGCCTTGTCCTGCCTTTGCCCTGCGTGGATGGGACTCTGGGACCCCAGGGCGGCCCCACTGCCGGGCGGACACCCAAGAGCCTGGTGTGGCCTGTAATCGGACAGCTACCACCCGCAGCCCCGCTGGCTCTGCTCAGCTGTGCTAGAGCATGCAGGACACAGAGAAGCGGGAGGGGCCGTGGCCACCGTGTCCACAGATGTGGACATCCGTAGCTCGGCTCACGGGAAGAGCACTGGCCGGGGCCCAGGCTGCTCACTGATGCGGCAGTCGGGACCGGCAAAGCCGGGCGCACACTCGCAGCGGAACCAGTTAACGCCGTCCACGCAGATGCCGCCGTTGTAGCTGCAGGGAAGGTGGGCATCAGAGACCGCAGGCCGTGGGGCCAGCCCCCACCCTGGCCCCCAGGGACGCCACTCACCAAGGAAGTGGGTTGCAGTCGTTGGTGTCTGGATTTAAGAGAGAGAAGAGGGACAGCTGCTGTTTTACCACCCACCGCCCAGTGCCCCCCACAGGCCAGGCTTGCGGATGAACAGACCCCACACTGTGCTCACTGGCCCCACTGGGCTGGGGGGGGGAGGGTCCTGGGAAGGCTCAGGCTCCCTGGCAGGGTGACACAGGGGCCAAGAGGGGCCACAGGCTATGGGGCAAGTAGGCAGCAGGGAGACATGGAGCTGCTACCCGGGGAAGGGAGGCCAAGGGACACGGAGAGAGCAGGGTGGGGGGAGGCGCAGCTCCCCGGGGCTGGGGAGCTTCGGGGAGGAGGCCCCGCCCAAGACGCCTCCTCTGGCCCCCGCTCACTGTGAGTGCAGGTGCGGCCCTCCCAACCGTCCCGGCAGATGCAGGAGAAGGAGTCGCCGCTGCCCACACAGGTGCCGCCATTCTCACAGGGGTTGGGCAGGCAGCTGCTGTTCTTGGCTGTGAGAAGAAGGGGCAAAGGAGTCGCTGTGGCCACCGGGCAGACTCGCCCCGACAGCAGGGCAGGCGGGGTGTGGAGCGGGGTGGGCTGGCCAGGGGGCATGGAGCGTGGAGCGGGGTGGGCTGGCCGGGGGGCGTGGAGCG